TAAACAAATCTTGCCAAGCGTGCAATACACGTCAACTGGTGAGTCTAATATTCTTTTACAAGTGCACCAATAATATTTATACCATTTTTTACACTAATGCAGTAGTCTGCATAACAGTAAATCTTATATTTTTTGTGAGAATAAAAATTCAAAGTGGATAGCAAAAGAATATAAGAGGGGCCTTGAGACGTGACTAATGACCAGCGGAAATGTCATTTCAGTGCCAGGAATGTCTTTCTTGTTTATTCTTGACCCTATTCGGAAATTGGCATCTTTTGAAATTTGTGTGAAATTGGCAAAATTGCTAAATTCTGACCACTGTACTGGATAGTTGAATTTCATAAATGGTTGGTTTCTTGCACCCATTCGATAGAAAAAATGGAGTTCTAGCGAAATATTCATGTTTTTTGTCGACTAGTACTGTGGAATTGGCCGAAAATGGGGCTCAAAGTGGGCAAAATCGCCGATGCGTAAAAATTGCCGCTAACTTTGCGAGAGCATAATTCCGTAAGTTTTCCATCAAATTTCAAACTTTTGGTGTCTTTATGATCGGGAAAAGATTCTCTATCTTTTCATAAGAGAAAATAATTTTTTTTTTTTTAATTTGGCCGACCCTGAGAACGAGTTTCGGAGAGGGCCTGTCGACCCTCAAAGGGTTAATACGTATGAAAGTGGAGTGCGTGTCTCTGAGCTGACCAGATTGTATAACAAACCCCAATCAACCATTGCTACTATCTTGGCCAACAGAAAGGCAATCAAGGAAGCTGTTGTTGCGAAAGGTGCAAGTATGTTTTCGAAACGCGGATCACAAGTATTCAAAGATGTTGAGAGACTGTTGTTGTGGATAAACGAAAACAGATACTAGGAGATAGTATCTCTCAATTCATCATGTGTGAAAAGGCAAGGCAGTTGCATGACAATTCAATCTAAAAAAGCCTGCAACTAGTGGTGATGTGAGTGAATTTAAGGCCAGCAAAGGTTGGTTTGAGAGATTTAAGAATCATAGTGGCATACACAGTGTGATAAGACATGGTGAGGCTACCAGTTTGGACAAAAAAGCAGCTGAAAATATGTGCAGGGATTCCAGGGGTACATAGAGGCTGAAGGATTGCAACCCCAACAAGTGTTTAATTGTGACGAAACAGGCCTGTTTTGGAAGAAAATGCCAAACAGGACCAACATTACACAGGACGAAAAAACACTGCCAGGACACAAGCCTATGAAAGTCAGGCTAACCTTAATTTTTTTTTTTTCAACAAGTCGGCCGTCTCCCACCAAGGCAGGGTGACCCAAAAAGAAAGAAAATCCCCAAAAAGAAAATACTTTCATCATCATTCAACACTTTCACCTCACTCACACATAATCACTGTTTTTGCAGAGGTGCTCAGAACACAACAGTTTAGAAGCATATACGTATAAAGATACACAACATATCCCTCCAAACTGCTAATATCCCAAAACCCCTCCTTTAGAGTGCAGGCATTGTACTTCCCATTTCCAGGACTCAAGTCTGGCTATATAAAAATAACCGGTTTCCCTGAATCCCTTCACTAAATATTACCCTGCTCACACTCCAACAGATCGTCAGATCCCAAATACCATTCGTCTCCATTCACTCCTATCGAACACGCTCATGCACGCCTGCTGGAAGTCCAAGCCCCTTGCCCACAAAACCTCCCTTACCCCTTCCAACCTTTTCGAGGACGACCCCTACCCCGCCTTCCTTCTCCTACAGATTTAAATGCTCTCCATGTCATTCTACTTTGATCCATTCTCTCTAAATAACCAAACCACCTCAACAACCCCTCTTCAGCCCTCTGACTAATACTTTTATTAACTCCACACCTTCTCCTAATTTCCACACTCCGAATTTTCTGCATAATATTTACACCACACATTGCCCTTAGACAGGACATCTCCACTGCCTCCAACCGCCTCCTTGCTGCTGCATTTACAACCCAGGCTTCACACCCATATAAGAGTGTTGGTACTACTATTTCTTTGCCTCCAGAGATAACGTTTTTTGCCTCCACATGTACCTCAATGCACCACTCGCCTTTTTTCCTTCATCAATTCTATGATTAACCTCATCCTTCATAAATCCATCCGCCGACACGTCAACTCCCTTAATGTTGTGTAGTAATGCTAGTGGGGATTGCAAAGTGACGCCTCTACTCGTGTATCACTCTGAAACTCCCAGAGTGTTCAAGAAAAGCAATGTTGTCAAGGCTAATTTATGTATGATGTGGAGGGCAAACAGTAAGGCATGGGTCACTAGGGACATTTTCTATGACTCGTTTTATCATGTGTTTGGCCCCACTGTGAAAAATTACCTCCTGGAAAATAAATTGGACCTTAAGTGCCTCCTGGTATTAGACAGTGCTCCTGGTCGTCCTTCAGACTTGCCAGAGCGAATTTCAGGAAAGTTGAGTTTCATAAAAGAAAAGTTTTTACCTTCTAATACCACTCTTCCTCCAGCCCATGGATCAGCAGGTCATTTCAAATTTCAAAAAACTGTACACCAAAGCAGTGTTTCAAAAGTGCTTTGAAGTGACCTCAGACACTCGATTGACCCTAAGAGAGTTTTGGAAAGATCACTTTAGTATCCTCAATTGTATAAACTTTATAGGTAAGGCTTGGGAGGGAGTGACTAACAGGACCTTGAACTCTGCTTGGAGGAAATTGTGGCCAGAATGTGTACAAGACAGGGATTTTAAAGGGGTTGGGGCTAACCCTGATAAGCCTATGCCAGTTGTGTAATCTATTGTGGCATTGGGGAAGTCCTTGGGGTTAGAGGTTAGTGAGGAGGATATGGAAGAGTTGGTGGAGGATGATGATGGAGAACTAACCACTGATGAGCTGCAAGAGCATCTGCAACAGCATGAGGCCACAACTGAGGAAATTGCTTCAGAGGAGGGGAGAGAGAAATTGAGGAAGTTGCCTTCTTCAATGATTAAGGAAATTTGTAGAATGTTGACAAAGGTGCAAGCCTTTATGGAGGAAAATCACCCTGACACAGCTATTGCAAGCCATGCTGGTGACCTTTACAATGACAATATTGTGACCCGCTTTAGGAAAATCTTAAAGGAATGCAAGGTACAGAGCTCTATGGACAGATTTTTGGTGCAACAGAGGTCCAGTGACTCTCAAGTTATTCCCAGTGGCATTAAAAAACAAAGAAGGGAAGTAACCCCGGAAAAAGACTTGCTACCTAAAGTCATTATGGAAGGGGATTCCCCTTCCAAAAATTAATGCACCTCCATCTCCCCTCCTCCCATCTCATCACTACATCTTCAATAAAAGTAAGTGTCATTTACTCTTCATTTAGTACAGTACATTATTTATTGTTTATGTATCCTTTTTCTGTGTAGGAAAATGTATATTTCTTGTGAAAAAAAATTGTTTTTTCATGCTTTTGGGTGTCTGGAGCAAATTACTGTAATTGGATTTCCATTTTTTCTTAGGGGGAAAATGAATTCGACTAATGATAAATTTATCTAACGACAAGCTCTCCGGAACAGATTGATATCGTTTTGTCGAGGGTCCACTGTACTTGATTCTCAGAACCATTACGTTTGATAATGAGCTTCACCTTGTGTTTTACTAATGCTGCTTTCTTAGTACTGGATTCACTTATATGAGGTGTTTTGAAGTCTTTATCTAGGTTCCTAAATACAGTTCCTATATTTGTGAGCTTTGTCTATTGTATACCTTTTCAGGAACAAGTTAAGAGTAATAGTTTAATCTACCTTTTCTTTTTTTTTTTTTTAATTATTTTCCCTGAACATTTTTTTAGATAGTGCTCTGTTTTTGTCTCCTTTCCACATATCTTAGCCTAATGACTTCTTTCACTCTGGTTAGATTCCAATAATTTTTTCAATTAATGAAATCTTTCTGCAACTTTCTTTTGCTCCTTTCAGTTTTTTCCTCAAATTATTTTGGCATCAGCAAACGAGGGGTCTGTTTCTGTTTTTAGGCCTTAATACATGCTAGTAACATTATAGGATCTAATGGTTATCCTCATGTGACAACCATTAGTTACACATACTCATCCTGATGCTTTAGCTCTTACAATAACTTTGTTTTCTCTTGTTCTTTTTTTACATTAGGTTATAAGATTGATGGCAAGAATGGGGAGGGAAAGAATTGGGGTATGTTAGGGCAGTGAAAGATGTTATGGGTAGACATAGAGAGAGGTAAGAAAGGTGAAGTCACCTGACCTCTTTGGGTGGGTTTTAAGAATGGTATGATGTATTGGCAGTTTGGAGGGATATGTTGTGTATCTTTATATGTGTATGCTTCTAAACTGTTGTATTCTGAGCACCTCTGCAAAAACAGTGATAATGTGTGAGTGTGGTGAAAGTGTTGAATGATGATGAAAGTATTTTCTTTTTGGGAATTTTCTTTCTTTTTTGGGTCACCCTGCCTCGGTGGGAGACGGCCGACTTGTTGAAAAAAAAAAAATGATGTATCTGTTCTACTATTACCTTGTTCAACATAATGACCATCTCCCTGACTTGCTTCCTCAGTTGCTAAGTGACGTGTGTCACTGTATTAAAAATTTTCCTGTTATCTATAATATTGCATTTGATGATTAATTTTAACTCTGACCATTATTGGAAAATATAGGAAAAAATCACTTGATAGCTAAAGAACTTAGAGACACCTACATGATACTGTTTTATAGGTGCTTGGTGGATTAGAGTTCTGCTAATGACTGTAATATCTTTTATATAACTATAGTAGTTGGTACTCAGCCATTTTCCTACCTGAGGTAAGGATGAACATCTGGGTTACGTGTAAGCCTGGTACCTGTGCTGGAGATTATTAGTAGATAATTTTAATAATTTCACCACAAGGACACCAAGGCTTAGTGTATCAACAAATTAACTTTGTCAGTGGGAGAAAATATGACAAATTATATTTTGAGGTGTTTTTAAGATATTCTTTCCCCAGCAGAGATCAATTTCAAAAACTTAGGCTGTTTATTTATTTTTCAGTGTCTAACAGATGATCATGAGGACATACGTAGCACAGTTGTTTTCTATGTAACAGAACGATTGCTGAAACGCTTCCCAAAAATTCTGAGTCAGCACTTTATTGAATGTATTTTCCACTACAACTGTTATGAGGTAACTGTGTATTAGTAATTTCTTATCTAATAAGGTTGTTTGCCAGTTTATTTAATTACAGAAATACAGTCTCCTTTTGAAGGTTTCATTACTAATTTACATACTGTAGTTGTTTCCTGATCAGTCCTATTTAGTTTTTATGTCTTTGTCTTGAAAAGCTTTCTGTATGTAAATATGAATATTAGTTTAATTATTGAAGTCTATGGTTTTGTGTGAAATTTGAACCAGTATTTTTTTCCAGGAGCATGAAACTTACAACAAGTTTACACAGAGCAAAATGGAAAAAGAATTGTTCTCCCTTGCAGGCAAAGAACAGTCAGAAGATCGCCACATGATATACCGTTTTATGCTGGATCACATGACAGATGACCAGCGTTTTAATACCACCCAGCGACTTTGCCAAGATGTTCTTGGTAAATACGTCAGGCAGATTGTAAACTAGCATTAAATTTAATGAGTGATCAGCAATTTGGTTAATTGAATATTTTAAGATCATCTCTTTCCTTGCTATATCATAATTCTAAAAAAAGTGAACTTGATATATACTATAATGGTTTTATTAGATATCCATGAGAGGGATGCCTTTTGGTTTGCTCATTAGATGTATTTATAATTTCCATTACAAGCTAAATCTTGAAAATGTATCTTGTCATTGACTTTCAACTTCCAACACTTAGCTATTTATTATTCATAAATTAGGTATTTATTGTTCATAAAATGGATTTTGTGGTTAGGTGTAGGGGAGACTTTTTCAGTGAAAGTAGGACTTAGGGATATGTGATATCATCTTGGTTAATTAAGACATTTATAGATGTATTGTAAAAGAAGGGAATGCTAGGGTATGGCAGAGAGGTGTGGGATTAAAAGATGTTGGACCTGATATGTGGAAGTTATCACATTGCTCTTTGCTGATGACACAGTTCATTTGAGGGATTCTGAATACAAGTTGCAAAGATTGGTGGATGATTTTGGGAAAGTATGTAAAAGAAGGAAATTAAAGTGAACATGGAAAAGATGTTTGAATGTGCATGGATGTAGTGCAGATGATAAAATGATTATGACCATTATGAACGAAAAGAAGCTGGACGTCTCGTCTTTAAGTGAAGCAAGCAAAGCTGAATGGGGTAGGAGAGTTTAAGTGGGGAGAAATAAATGGGATTAGATCATGGGTATCTGAGAGAGTTAGAGCTAAGGAAGGAGTAGCAGTAATGTTGAAAGATCAGTTGTGACAGGAAAAGAGAGTATAAATGTATATATTCAAGGATTCTATAGATTAAAATAAGGGTTATGTCACTTATGTTGAAAAATACTGATATTGTATCATGGGGCTTATTTATGTATATAAAATTTAGCCATGCCCAGTTACTCAGGTTGCATTCCTGGTAAAGAGCTAATTCGTGTCTGCCCCCACAATATTTTATATTCAGTGATTATATTCCTTCTTGCTCTTCGTTCCTTCAGTGACATACAACCAAGTTCTTGCATTCTTTCTTCGTTGCTCATTTTCCTCTGCTCGGGTACCAGTCTTGATGCTCCACTTTGCACTCATATTTTGATTTGTGTTTTATTAAACAAGGGCTCCACACTGGTGCTTAGCTACTCAAGATTGGGATGAATGTATGAGGTGTATTGTGAACAAGTGTTTGTCTAGGTTTCTGAATGTCTCTCTTATGTTTGTAAGTTTTGCCTGTTTTACTGGCATTTTTCTGTTCATAAGTCTTGGAGGATAAATTGAGATAATGGGTATTCCAAGGGATATCTTCCTTGATTGAGCCATATTTAATTTTATCGTTATTTTGAAATGTAGTTTGATCAGGAATAAATATATTCAGGTGGAGTGGTCGATGGTCGTATTAAATTAACGCCAGACAGCCTGCCCATGTTACAAGATACGCTCTCAGTCCTCAGCAGTGATGAGATCAAACTTGCTTCATTAAAATCCAGACCAGAAGATGTTGATCAGCCCACAGACCAGGCAGAACAAGCAGCTATGGCAGGAATGGTCATAAAGAAGACTATCATTTCTCAGGTTAGTTTCTTTAAGGTTTTAGATTTCAAGCTCATCTTTTTAGGGTAATGTTAAATAGTTGTATATTATTAAGGTTTTAACCCAACAATTCTTTTAAATTTGCATATTAACATTTAATCCAGCATTAAATGGTGAGCTACCATTCCTGTGTTTTTTCTACATGTAAACCTCTCTTAATCTTATAGTAATATGATAACGAAATATGAAAGAATTAATTTAGCCGAAATGATACACATGTGCGCACACACACACACACAGGTGCGCGCACGTGCACACGCGCACACATGTACATACATGCACGCTCACACACACTAGTGTCTTATGCCTTGAGATGCCATATTAGTAATGATGATAATACTCAATAATAATCATTGAATCTCATTAAATGTCGTATATTACGTTAATATGCACATTTTCATTAATCCATGTATGATATTTTTTCAAAATTATATAATGAACATGATACATAACATATAAAGATGATAAGTACACTCCACAGTAGAATAAATAAACATAAATATGAGATGTGGGAGCCAGACGACTTATACGAGTGACGCCATATTAGCAATGATAATAATAATCACCAAGTCTCATTACATGTCGTATATTACGTTAATATACACATTTTTATTAATCCAGCTATATTTTTTTCAAAATTATATAATAAACACGATACATAACACATAAAGATGACAAATACACCCCACAGTAGAATCAATAAACATAAATATGAGATGTGGGAGCCAGACAACTTGTACAAGTGATGGCAAGAATAACATTTTCTCTAGTCCAACATAAGAGAAAATGTGTTACTGGGGGTAACTGTAGAAAATTATTCCTTTCATATGCCTTCACTCAGAGTGTCATTTCTTCCAAAAAATGGTGTTAAATGAGAATGGGAGTGTTCTTTATTTATTTTACCATAACGTACAGACAACTTGTACACAATGTAACTTGTACACAAACCAGACGTGTACACTTTGTTTGTTTTCAAAACTCACGTTCGCCTGGTTTACATAACTCCACGAGTGTCCTCTCTCATGTACTCATTCTCTCTCTCTCTTTCATTTATTTGTTTTATTTCGTGTACTCACCTCTGACCCTACATTAAGACTACAAATATTTTAAGGTAAGTAATGAGTGAACTGTATATGCATTTTATCGCTCTGGGGTGCTTAAATGTTGTAGAATATTATGTGTGGATGGGGTGGCCTGGTATGGTAGCCCGGCTGGCTACCATACATACCACACTTGATTTATTACAATAAATACTACTTGTCTTACCCTAGATTAGGTCTACAAATATTTTAAGGTAGTAATGAGTGTACTATGTGTGTATTTTACTTTTTTATTGTTTTTTAATGCCTAGTTCTACTGCTAACCGCAATGGAAATAAGCCACACTGACTTTTTTGGGTTATCCTAGGTACTTTACACATATGCTGCTATGTATGATAATCTATGTAACTGCATTTGTGTATATCTCAGTAAACTTACTTACTAACTTAATATATGTTAGTGTAAACTACTACTTCTTTCAACGTACCAGCCGTATCCCACCGAGGTGGGGTGGCCCAAAAAGAAAAACGAAAGTTTCTCCTTTCAAATTTAGTAATATATACAGGAGAAGGGGTTATAGTGTAAACTTGTTATCTAGTATTTGTATGCATTATAAGTGGAAAAAAGAGGTGTTTCACTTTATGGCGATTTCAGCTTTACGGCGGTAGCCTGGAACCTAACCTGCTGTATAAGTGGGGCCCTACTATATATGTATTGGATCCAAATCAGTGTAAACTGTTTGAAGGTTATTCTGTTTAATAAATTTCAAGTATCTTTCTGATATATTTGTGCCTTGTACATTAGGCTCAGGAATGTTTGAGAATTGACAAGAACCCTTTTAGACTAATTGAGCCTGATGTAGTTTGGGAGAAATCATTCCTAGAAAGAGCCTTTTCTTGTGTAGCTTCTTTGTTATGCAACAGGTTGTCAGTGTCTGTTAACTCTTTTTGTGTCAGTCCCATTGTATCCTGGCTTTGAAGCCAGTGTTGGTCCCATAGTTTGACACCATGAGCTCAGCTTACTCAGATAAGCTGTGAGTGGTAAATTTGGGTCTAGATATGAAAGAATAGGTCTGTGCAGTAAGTGTGCACCACATAAAAATATCAGTGTATGAGGAGAAAAAAAGTACGACAGTATTTTTTGGTTTATAACAGTGAATTTCTGGTGTTTTTTGTATGGTATTTATGGTCTCATTTGGTAGAATGGAAGATATATTACAGAAATAGAGATTATTTTAATTACTTTCGGGACAGAAAGTAGCTTGAAATTGAGCTCAGAGTAGTGGAAATGTTTGATTTTTGCCGATATTCCAGGGTACATCAGACTGGCCAGTCTAATATGCATTTAGGAATGCACTGACATTATTTATATAATTATTGCAATAATGCAGTTGTCTGCATGAAAGTAAATTTTCTGTATTTTTGTGAATATAATTTCAAAATGAAAAGCAAGCATAATATAAGAGGGACCTAGAAACGTGACTTAGGAGCAGAGGAAATGTTTATTTAGTGCCAGGAATGTCTGGATTGTTTATTCTGGACCCTATTTTCAAATTGGTAATCATTGAATTTTGTGTGAAATTGTCCACTTTATTGGGTAATTGAAATAGGTAAATGGGCAGTTTCTTGTACTCATTCGATAGAGTAGAAGGAATACTAGCGAAATAGCTATGAGTTTGGTCAACTGGAGTAAGGGAATTTGCCAAAAATAGAGCTTAAAACGGGTGAAATTGCCGATGTGTAAATATCGCTGAGACCTCGAATTTTGTGAGAGCATAATTTTGCAAGTTTTTGAGTCTCATTTGTAAGCAAATTTCCCATCTAGAGCTTATGATCTTACTACTGTTCATGAATATGAACTTTAGTACAGAAGGGCTCTGTACATACAGCACTCTTTTTGGTGCTTCATGTTTTTGTTGGCTTTCAATTAAGCCATTGTTCATTATGTTCAGTGCTTTTACCGCCTTTTTGCCGCTTATGTAGAACAGTTGCATAAAGGAAGGGCAACCAGCACCATATTTTAAGGTATGTATTGTATGTGCTGTGCATTTATTTTACTTTATCTGTTTTTTTATGTTTAACTGTATTGAGCACTTAATATATGATGGTGTAAACATGCTATCAGACATTTTAGAAGTATTCGATAATGAAAAAACATCTCTCTTCCATCCGCCAGCAATTTTTGGTTACTGTACGGGGTTGGGAACCTAAGAGCATACAAACAGGGCCCTCCTGTATTTTGTTCTAAATGTTGAAGCATTTATGGCTTAACGTGCAAACACTTCTGAATTTCTTGAAAGAATACGCACTCAAGAATAACAAAATTCAAAATTTATTATTAATAGTGATTCACTAGAATCATCCTTGTGGCACATAGACAGAATCTTAATGACAGTACCTGTGAAGGCTTACTCAGCCCTGTAACAACTTCAGACAGTATTACCAAGACTGGCTCCTCCTCAGGAAAATTATTGAATAGAAAAAGAAATAATAATTCACAAAGATAAACACTTTATTATTTATTAAAGCAAACATAAAACAGTGAAACATGAAAGGTATATCCTATTTGAAAGAAAAATGAAAAATGAAATGAAAAAATGACATTGGAACTCAACGCTAATATATATAGATATAGTGATACTGGGGTGTTTGGTGTTGGTGACACTGCGTGTTGTTGAAATCGTAGCCGTTGCTGATAATGAAAGGGGGGGGGTCGCAGGTGTTGGTGACATCACCTGCGACCCACCGGCTCATTCTTCAGAGTCTATAGCCGTGAATAATTAATCCAGATGACAGGAAAGCAGGTTTGTTACCACTGCTATGATGAGGGGTTATGTCCTGCGTCGGCGTACATAACAGGTAAGTAGATTCATCATGGGACGTCTCTGGACGTTAGTCCGTCTCCTTCAATTCTTCTCGTTGGTTGGCAGGTGACCCAATTTGTCATTCCAAGCTGGAAAGAGAGACAGGTTACCCACTGCTTAAGAAATCACTCTTCATGATAGGTACAGTACCTAAAAGACGTGGTGATTATTAAGACATTTAACAGAGCAAGACTGAAAGGACTAAGTTTATTATTGGTCAAAAGTGAAGCTTTCAACCAATAAGTCCACTAGAATATGAGCAGGCATATACTTACAGTAGTGCTGGGAGCTGTGAGTCGAGTGATTACTGTTTGACCGGAGCCCCACACGTCACCTTTCGGGGGGGGGGGGGGAGGAAGGGGGGGTGATAGCGGGAGCTAGGCTTACCCTACCTTAACAAACAGCCGGCAATCAAACTATCACTTTCGGGGTGGGGGAAAAAGGGGGGAGTAGCGGGAGCTAGACTCGCCCTACCTTAACAAGTAGCCGGCAATCAAACTATTGTTACCATATACCTGTTCGTTACTTCTATCTGTTGAACTTTTCCCTCACAGTACCACACCCAAATAATTTTTTGCACTATTCTTTTGTTTTCTTTCTAAATATTACTCAACACGTTCTTTAATATTATTTAATACTGTCGGTGTGATAGTCTTCAAAACAAATTGTCAAACACAGTGAATCTAGACAATCCTTGCATCAGTATCATGTGTTTTTGCACTCGATCTCCTTATTGTGGAACCACCAACTTGTATTTCAGATTTGGCAGCTTAACCCATTTTTGTGTGTGTTCAAAAACGTTTCATTATTCTCTACTTAGTTTGTCTGTAGTTGTCATAACTTCATAATACAGTATTGTACTGTATTTCTTCCGGTGTTAGCACAGTATGTCTTTTATTGTACTGCCCAGTACTTTATTAGTTTCATCAGTTGGGCTCTTTCTCTGTACTAGCTTTTATCTGAGTTATGGCAGATGTTTTTTGTTAGTCTTTAACCCTTTGAGGGTCGACAGGCCCTCTCCGAATCTCGTTCTCAGGGTCGGCCAAATTTAAAAAAAAAAAAAAATTATTTTCTCTTATGAAAAGATAGAGAATCTTTTCCCGATCATAAAGACACCAAAAGTTTGAAATTTGATAGAAAAC